CTCCATCGGGTGCTCGACTCATCCATCTTTTATCGAATCGGACTTGACGGCCAGATCTACCTTCTCCAACTTTTCATCTTCAACCTCATATATGCTTTTCCATTCCCATACCTGGACAGTTCAATGTCATTTCATATCTCTTGTATATTCCATCTAATCTCGAATATATTTTTTACAACCAAACATTTTTCTTTTTGTATAAAAAATAAAAAAACTGTTTTTATTTTATATTGTTGATTTTTTCTTCCGTTGTTGAAGTTTATTAATATTAAAAAATTAAGATAATATTTTTGTGGCCTTTGGTCTATTAAATAAGAGAACGGTATTTTATTAACAAAAGAATTTTCATATATTTAAAAAATTAGAATTCGTCTATGCATTTCGTCGTGATATTACGACTCTTCAGGACTGTAAAAAATATATATGACAGATGAGAAAATTTCGTGGAGAAAAAAAACAAGCCTTGTTTCTCAAGGCTTTATCGAAACCGACTGGTACCAGAAACCTTATGCTTCTGGTCGCCTTTTAAATTTTTTATCTAACCATCATATTTTAAACCATAAGAGAGTTATCATATTCTCTCTTGTCGATAGATCCTTCACACTATCCGAAGAAAAATTTCATAATAAAAATATAGACATTGTCTTTCGATTGTTACAAGAAAATAATTTTTCATATGATTTCATAAAAGATAACATCAAAAAAAGAATAACCTACTTGACAAATAAGAATAACAATATTATATAATTACCCAAAATTTTGACTTGTCACGAACCTTAGTCTTACCTTATGTACATTATATTTCACAAGCAATAACTACATTATGTAAATAATTAAAAATATAAATTATTTTTTCAATAACTAAAAAATTCCGAAATTCTCTTTTACAATCATCCAAGGACAGAATCCCCAAATTTGAAAGAACAAATATAGTATATAAAATCCCATGTGGAAATTGTAACAGTGTGTACATTGGACAAACTAGTATACAATTAAAGAAGAGAATCTATGAACATAATTATTCTCAAAATAAGGACCACACAAAAACCGCATTATGCAAACATGCACATAATTTTAAACATAGTTTTGATTTTAATTCTAATAACATTAAAATTTTAGACAGTGCTAATTATTTTAGAAAAAGAAATATTCTTGAAATGTACCACATTGTAAAAAATGGAAATGCCATTAATTTTAAAACTGACACCGAAGGACTATCCATAATTTACCATGATGTTATAAATACCTTAAATTGTTTTAATGAACACTATATTATGACTTTAAATTCCATGCACAGGGCATGCGTTGGCTAATACAAATGTATATCACGCCATACTCTACTATGTATATTATATATTTTTAAAATGAATATTCGCGCTTATTGTAATCTTCGTATCTAGCGCATTATAAAAATGTCAAACCTCCGTTTTCGTAAACACTAAGCTTGCTCCTAACCTCAAATTTTTTTGTCATCTTTTATTTTTGTTTTTATGTTTTTTGTATATAATGGTTTGATCCAAATCCAATTATTATTATTCATCTCGAAATTCTCATGCTGGTATGTTTTTTCTACTTTATTATTTTTTTGTTTTTGTTCTCGTCGAAATTTTCTCATCTGTCATATATATTTTTTACAGTCCTGAAGAATTGTTATATCACGACGAAATGTATAGACGAATTCGAATTTTTTAAATATATGAAAATTCTTTTGTGAACAAAATACCGTTCTCTTATTTAATAGACCAAAGGCCACAAAAATATTATCTTAATTTTAACAATAAGGTCTACAACATTAACTGTTTATTAATATTCTTTTAATCTATTATTGGAGGAGTAATAAATGAAACACTATTTCATTAGTTGTATAAAATTAAAAATAATTCGTCACCTTATGCGACGTCCATTGATAAGTTTTCATAAACAAAGGTATAACCACACTACTGTCTCTAAAAAAGAAGCCGAGAGGCGATAATAATTAAAACCAAAGCAGATGGAGCTACCAAAATCCGGCGCCAAATTCGAATCTGTAAAATTATTAGGCATACATATCCCTGCAAAAGAAAAGAAATATTTCAATTTCTCCCTTCGTGACAAATTTTTCACTCAGGAAAAATTGAATTGCAACATTTTTTTCTTCTCTTTTTTCTCCCCGTGAAGAAATTCAGTGAGTTGTGTAGTAACGGACGTTGTTGATCTTCAGTTAGGAGACTTTCCCTTACTCTTAAGTCAGAGAATTAGGGTCCGAGTAGCCATTACCGTGAAATACTATTGGTCTCGGGGCAAGCCATTCGAAATGGCGCACTCACACTCGCAGACAAAATACTATATATACAACTATCTCGGAGACTATTCGAGTTTCGTTTCCTCTCGCGGGTTTACATGGTCGGCCGAAGAACAGTACATTATTTCTTGACGTCAAATAAAGCAATTAGCATGTGCCCTGACCAGAGTCCCGAGGTTCTAGCTCGAGTAATCTGGCTCGGGTCCCCGGCGAGTGCGACATCTTCATCAGACTCGACCCCTCTACCTGCTCTCCATGACCTCCCTCCTTCACAATGTGAAATGATCACGTGACTTTATTCCCAAGAGACGGGAGTGGGACAAGGACGGAATGAGTCACTGAGTTGGGGAAAGAGAGACGGAGACAAAAAAGGGGCAAGGAGGAAATTTAGACGGAGAAAGAGAGAAGAAGGGGTTGAAAGACGGAGAAAAAGGAGGAGAAGACCACGAAGCGAAGCGTTACTTCCAAGGGAAATTTCACAAAGGCTGACCTGCTCGTAATGAATGTTATATAACCCTTTTAATGCTTTACGCCTCTTAGATTTTTCAGAGTGCTCTCCTTTTTCACTTGTTCGCTTCGTCTTTCTTGCTTGCGTGTTGCGTCAAAAATTCTTCCCTCTCTCACTCTTTTCTTCGCTATAGTCGAGAATAAAAATGAGTGAGACGACGGGAGAGAGCCTCTGGGGTAGGTAATTATGTGGCGGACGTAAATTAAGCTTGTTTAGATTGGGATTTTTATTAAGGTCTTTTGCGAAAGAGAGCCGGCGGTAAAATGACGCTCGGCACACTTTCTGCCTCAACTCTTTTTATTCTGACTTTAAAGTAAAATTGGCAAATTGATTTCACGCTGCCAGTTACAATTTATGCTTGAATTGCGCCTTTTTGGAACAAAATATTTTTCTCTCCTAAAGTGTAATAACTTCAGTCTGGAAATTATTTCTATTTTATCATGAAAACAAACAATTTCCATTTTATTATAGAATTATTATATACGAAGTAGTTTCTTCACGTTTGTCTCTCTTTTAGTTTTCTTACTAATAATGTTAGCTTTTTATAAATTCAAATTCAGCGCGTTAAGTAAGTATAGGTATCTCCTTTTGACAAGAGTTGTGTCTAAGATGACCAAGTTTCCTTGTTGGTTATTTTCCCGAAGGAACTCCCTTTGAGATATTATTGTGAGATTTGATTTGACTCATAAAAGATTTGACTATTGTTCTTGTTATAGTCTTTTAATATAAAATTAACTGGTGTCTGACTGCCGCGTTGATGCTAGAATTTTGATTTGTGACGAATAAGGGAAAATGATTAATTGGTCTTTGTATACTTTTTTATTTACCATTTAACAATCGTTATAATATTTTCTGACTTTATTTTACAGGACGATATACTTCGGTTGGTTTCCAAATGAATATCTTTTGTTTTAATATCAATTGTACTAAAAAAGGATCATACTATAAAGATAATATTTTTTTGATTATTATCATAATATAATATTACTGGGAAAAATGGTTATGAATGAGGAGATAAGTCGGAGGAAAACATACATAGCGAATGGGGGTATGTTAATCTTGCTCAGTTCGAGCATTGCTCTGCATCAAATGGTTAACTGCTTTCGCACTAAGGTGCAGTGAACTTTGGAAAGCAACTCACGAGTTAAATGTATATAGAATGACTGTGTAATTTAGATATATAGCGACCAAATATACATAGGTATACACAACTTTGGATAGATTCAGATGGAAGTACTCATGCCTTCAAGCAATCTTCCTAAGAAAAGTTTCACGAAAGTTTAATTCAACCGGGCAGGCAGAATATCAATATTAATTGTTTTACACCAAAAATAACCCAGATCAAAAATCTCACTGAAACTGTAAATTCAAATCCTTTTATAAAATGACCAATAAAAATGCTCACAAAGGAACAAAACAAGCAAAAGAATATTGACATTTCCTGATAATTTCGGATGTTGTCTAGCTGTTTATTGTAGAAAACAACATTTTTTTGTCCCTTTGTAAAAATTATTTCCTTCCTGAAATGAATATAAAGAAAAATAAAGGAAGAAAATTCCAACGCCAAGTTTTTGGTAGTCGATCAGCATTTCGGGTACATATTGATATTCGATGAGCGATTCATAGTTTTCATTTTTTTTCCTCTGCTTATAACGTGGTATGCGCGCACTTTCTCGATTAAGCTTTTCCGTCATTAAAAGTTTATAAAGAAGGCAAGCTATAGGAAGTCGCGACGAGTAAAAAGGACTCGGGGAGGGTGAGTGGTGGATTTAAAGGGAGGATGGTGGGTGAGACTCCAAGCAAGTTTTCTCATGTGCAATGCATAATGAGGGGAAGCAGACGGAGCAAAGGGCCTACAAATGAGGCACCAAGTATTACTTGTATATCTATACAAACTAGAGAACAACCGTATAACGTCTCGGTTACAACGTTACTAACGGCATGAAAAGCGAGGAATCGAGAACTCCTTTTCCTAACTCCATTCACGTAGCTTCTTGTTTTCAAACCGCACTTAATTTTCCAACCCAAAATATCGTCCACAACTTCATTCCGGCACTTTGCCCCCCACAACAAAATAGAGTCACAAAAAGCTACTTACAAAATTGACCTCAATTGGAAAGAGCAAAAAAAAATTCTGATTTGTTAAGGACTGAATAATTCTGTTACGTGATCAGGAGGAAAAAAATTTGTGATACATTTCAAGCTACTTACCTTATTCATTGTTTGACGGGGACAGTCCCGTCCCGTGTGAGACGACTCTGTAACAAAAAGAAACAAAGATTTAGAATATGAATTACGTTTGAGAATATGTAGCTGAAATTTTAGATGCTAATCTAAAGTATTTTTCAAGTTACGTCCCCGAATGTAGTTTTTTTTTCTTTGCAATTGGTGAACATCCTTAATTATGTTTAATATTTAGTTATGTTAATTATGTTTATGAATTATGTTTATTATTATACGAATTAAGCTCGCGGTTTCCACTTCACCGTTCTCTGAAACCGCATGGCAAAATTCCGGTAATCTAATGAATTACCAAAAAGCCAATATCTTTATGGTAGAAACCCCAGTGTTCCAACCACTATTTAAATATCCCTGTGTGTGTATTTAATTTATAAAATATTCCAGAATAAATTGGACCGCTTCTTTAAAAAAAATGCGGGTGCTCTCAAACCCCTATAGCAGAAACCCCAACATAATTAATTATTTTGACATTATCGATGCATGCGTCGCCAGCACAACCGAACCTGACAAGAATTGGGCGGAGGAAGCTTTTTTAAAAATAAATTCATGCCTCATTAAATTAGTGGCAAGGAAAAGTTATATTAACAGACGTTCCTTTTAGAATTCTAATCAAATTTCATATTCCAAACGGAATTCCGATCACCAGTAGCATCCACAACAATAATAGAAAAATTAACAGATGTAGATTCCAAAAAGTCTTTCAGAAGGTACTTTTGAAAATTTTACGTAAATCTTTCCACATTTGGTCGAAATTCCATATGGTCAAAAATTGAATTAGGAAAAGGATTAGAGTTTCTTGTGACATCAGTTAAAGAATTCAACAATAAAAATAAAATCTAGAGATAATTTTATATATCCAGCAAGTAACAGATCGATGTACACAAAAGTTGGGAATAATGTTTCGGACACGATGTTTTGGTAGCTGGGTTTCGTCTGACTTTCGTCCCTTCATGCGTGTCCGCCGCAGATTCAAGCTCCTAATTAAGACGAGGGTGCAAAGAGGGTCTTGCGGAGGAAACAGAGGGTGGGAGGCACCTACCCAGTTTCACGCCGGAGGGGCAAGTCAAGGCAAAGGGGGTAAGGAATATTGATCACGGGACCACCACAAGCAAGAGCAAGGGACTGGCCACACTCTCAGAACAGGTCAAACCACCGAACACCAGATGCTTGAAATCAGTCGCTTGAGAACTTATTCAAGACATTTGGATTATTATTAATTATCCCCCAAATAATTCTCAACAAATATTTCCCGTCTAATATCATAAGCAAAAAAAATTGCTTTAATTTAGTTCCGATTTTCATTTTGACTTGCTTTGTCATCAAGCGGAGGCAGACGGGAGAAAGAGCGAGAGAGAAAATGTCGAGTTTACACGAATCGTCTTTCTACTCATCGTCTCGCCTTAATTAAATCTCCCGACCCTTCTTGAAGAACCTAGGAATCTACAGACGTCTTCTACTTCTCCGTCATTGATGTTGGTAAACTTCCTTTTCTATCGCTTCCTTTTCCCGCTGACGAGGACTTGAAGTTTTCCTAGTTACACATCGTGTGTCCGTTAACGAGCATCAAGAACCAACCTCAGCAGCAAGAATCTACCTGTCTGCGAAATTTAATTTTCGACTCGCTCTTTGGTCATCAATGTTTAAGTTTAACAGAACTAAACTATATTTGTTGTTTGCTTTCCGTTGGAGTATAAACTTTGTACAATGTAATCAAAATTGCTTTTCAAATCTTTCAGTAAAAAGCAATCCCTCAGCAATTTAGGGTATAGGGAAAGTTATTGCCTATATTATGGGATGTAACTTGACAGTTTTTGCTTTAGTTTTCGCTTTTAGTGGTAGTAATTAGATTCAGTCTCTGTATCGAGTCCTCTACTACCATACTTTGGTCCCAATTTTAGGAGCATAAAATATTAACTTTTAAATTATATCTAGTTACTACAATTCGAAGTTGTGTGAAATAATTAATCTGATTCACGTTTTTGTTTCCAAGGAATGATGAATGTTAAAATTCCATTCAGTATGAAGTAAAACGAGTGTCAAAAGCTGAGGACGGAAGAGAGCTTATTGTCCGAGAGGTAGACCCTACCAGCACCCATTATATCGGGAGAGGCGCGCGATACGAGGGTAGCAACGACGGCGGCAGGCAGGCAACTCAAACTTTGATATGGTTTCCTAAATAACCAAGGCGACCGATACCACAGCACGATATCCCACGGTTTTCACCCGCGCCTCTTTCACTCACTCTCTCTTCATCCCATGCCAATGTAGTGGAGTGGTCGGTAACTACCGGTAAGGCATATTGAAATCCCCCCTCTTCACCTTCTTCCCCCTTACACTCTATTTCCCCAAAACTTGATACATTGACTAAACGCTTGTCGACGAATGCGCCTTCATACAAAATCCCCAGAGTGCGTTTGTCGTTTAGCAAGTATATAACCACCTTGTCATAATCGATCTACATTCTCTGTAAAACCGGTCAACATGGAATGTCAAACTGACAGGTAATTACTGTTTCGGTTTTGTAATTTACAATAAACCGACTACGAATGTTTATAAATTGTATCATTCGGTCGTTTTTTTTTATTTTTATTTTCTACTCTACTTCCACAGTGGACCATTTGTTTATTAGTCGACCAATTGCGAAGTAAACCCAATAAGTAGTACCGCAAATGGAAAAATAGGCCCAGAAATGGGGAATCGGTTTTAGTGGGTCGATCGAGCCTAGGCTAAAATTTTTAGCTGGAGCTGCGCCAGTAGTGGCTCAATGTCCATGCCCACATAACCTCGCGATGCGGGACAATTTAAAGTAACTGTGAGTCATATCGAAAACTGTTTAGGTGAATTTCTGAGCTTTTATAATTAGTTTCTAAAAGTGTTTTATGAGAATAATTTAATCGGTTTTATGGATCGGAGTCCGGATTGCAAATGATGACCCGAACCATAGTTTCGTTTCGGCTATTCTAGGTTTGAAAAAACTCGTAAGCATTCGTTCCGAAACGAGATTGAACAAAAAGACAAAATTCTCCTCAGATCGAAAGACCTCTTTCCACTGTAGTTAAGATTTTAACTATTGTGAAAAAAGATTTCCAGATTAGAAAAAGCAGAAGAAATTAATATCAAACACCAAAAGAAAAATGATCAAATCAAATTTATCGAAGAAAAGTTAATAATTCGTAAAATTTGAGATAAACGTCTGAGGCAATATTGCCGTTTTCCTTTGGCTGTTTTTCCGCTAATTAGAAGCTAACAGGGAACTGAAGTTGGAAACTTTAAAGTTTCTTGCACTCAAGGAAGCTTTACAACCACGCCCCCTTTTCGAAACATTATAACCAACCCTGGTGGGCTCTCTCTCGCCTCCAGTTACTACCGGCTAGCGTTAATTACTAATTAATTGTTTCGCGTGTTTGAGTTTTAAATGGATAAGTTAAACAGCGCATAAGAGCCCTGGACGGTCCTGAAAGGTAGTAAGCTAACTCTCCTCTCTACTCCTCCTCATCACACCACTTTCATGCGTACGATTACCGTGCAAATACTGTACAACGGTTAACGAGGTTAGGATGACCGTATAAGTACGAGGGGGCCACGACTCGTTTCTCTCTCGTTCGTTTATTCGTTTTTCAACCCTCGTCACCCAAGTATCCATTTCGTGCTTCATGAGTATCATCCGTCAGATTTGAAGAACTTTTTCTTCTCCCTTCCAATAAATTTGTGAAATTTATTACAATTAGGAAATTGGCTGCCAATATTGATTGTGAGTCATTTGCCGAACTTGCTGCTAGTTGAAATTAGGGACAAATTAACAAAATTTCTTTTTCCATGAACCATTAGTTTGCCAATCGCGTCTCTAGTTGTGGTCTTAGCGTGCCTAAGGTTGAGGAACAAATTGCTGAACTAGCTTCCAATCATATTTAAAAACAAATTGATGCACCAACATCTATTCATGTTTGGGAGTAAATTTCTGATCTGGTACCCAATCATGTTTTTGGATCGAATGAAAAACTAGCTTCCAATCATGTTTGGGGGCAAATTGTTAAACTAGCTTCCCATCATGTTTGTGAGAAAATTTCTGTTTAAGCTTCCTATCATCTTTAGAAGTAAATTGATGAAGTAGCTTTCAATCATGTTTAGAAGAAAATTGCTGAACCAAAATCCAATCATGTTTGGGAGCAAATTGCAGATCATGTTTTCAAAACCAGGTGCTAATTTCTTAACGATAATTTTACAATACAAAAGTAAATATTTAAAATCAGATGAATTGAAGGCATTATGAGAACAAATAAAAGGAGTACACCAATAAGTTTCCATCTTCGTTAACTCAAAATCCCAATGGTACGCAATCGAACAACTCAGTTTACACGAAAGGAACTCCCTCAAGAGCGGTGTCGTCCATGCAAATCGTTTTACCTTAATCTTTCACTTTCTTTCTCTCTCTTACTCTCCTTCTGAGAATAGTAGAAAGTAAAGGGGAAAATCCTGTCCTCCTACACCCATCCTTCTTTCTCTTGAAAATGGTGGCACATCTCTCGCCCTTCCATAATCGGAGCTCAAATAAAAAGACGTAATACCAGATAAAACATCCCATTTGTCTAACGACGATTTTTCTCGCGCCTGAACCAACGAGCAAACGAGCAGTATGCCCTCGAGAGGGGTAATCGTCTTAAACGCCGCTGTTACACCCGCCATTCATCCCGTACGAAGCTCACCTTTATTTCTGTCTTAAGATCCCACTTAATTGAGATAAAGTGGAGTAAAATTGCTTTATGACTTTAAGATTTTCGTTCGACAATTGTAATTCTTTTTTATCAAATATTCCCTTATGTTCTATTTGAAAATTCTTCTTTTCTTCTACAGGAGTTTAACGTCTATCGGTTCCGACTAAAATCACATTTGCATTCAAATATTTATAAGTTTGTCGAAAAATACCATATTTTTCTTTTCTAAACGTCAACGACCCACAAATTTATTCAATTACCAAAAAATGCCTAGTGCAATAAATTTATAACAATTTTTGTTAAAA